TTTCCAAAGGAAAACCTGAAAGTTATTTGGAAAGAGAAGACTGGAAAATCCCAAGCAGGCAACCAATCAGTCTTCACTACAGGCACAGTTTAAATGTGTTCATCAGCAATTTAGGAGTTGTATTGTATCCTGTATTTTAAAAGCTACTTTTGAATACTCAGAAGCAAACATCAAGTGTCTGCTGCAGAAGTGAAGAAAGAGTAAAGAAATCTGAAGAGCCCAATTCTGAGAAATCTCATTGATGAATATGGGAAGATAGGAAGATCCAGTGTTGTGCATGATTCTCAAGCCACTCGTTCATTCGTTCATTCATTCATAGAACATTTTTAGAGTGATTAGTCTATGCCATAAATGCTTGATACAAAAGGATATTTGACTTCAAGGTATTTTTCCTATCACACACTATGGAATTATAAGTAAATGTCAGAAGTTTTGATATCTGGAGTAATTGCCACTTCGTAAAAGTAAGGCCACATAGGAAACATAATGGTGTCTTTACCATACCATTTGATATTTCCTCCATACCTAACTCTTGTACAATGCAATCTCTAACATAAGCAAACCCAAGAATACTTATTTTTCAATGAGCAGCTCTCTGAGAACAGTATGTTAAAATGCAAATGGAAGCATAATTTGTCTTACTCTGGTTCTCGTGTAAACAGTCACAAAATCTAAGAAAAATAATATGATCCAACTTTGGTTGTTTGGTAACAACAGTGGATCATTGTTGTCTCAGGGAGCTTTTATGTGCAAAATACATTTTGATAATAAAGTGAATTCCTTTAAGCTATTAAATTCTGTGCCCATCTGGGGAAATATTTGGGGAAATAAATATAGCCAAAAAGATATTAAAAGGAAAAATAGCAAACGTAGTTGATTTTTGACAGTTTTTTTTRTATTCTGAAATCCTAGGTCCATATCATAGTGATAATACTGAAAAAATTCTAATCACTTTGTCATTATTCCCAGCAGTGTCCTGGAGTTCCAATTCTAAGGGCATGGCTTTCTGGAGGCATCTAACATGAAGATATAACTCAGAGAATTTTTTGAGAAATTGTTTCTTCACATGAAGTATACTTGATAATAACATTTTAATGTAATATTGACATTTCTGGTTTTTAACTCTGTGGAGCAGAATCTTGATGAAAAAGAAAATCACTTGTGACAGCTTCAGCCTGAGTGTCTAATATCATAGCAATTTAACCCGGTTTTATCCTATATCAGAGGTACTCTATCAAAAAAGAAGCAAAGTTTCCTTCATGTTTTACTTCATTTACGGAAGTGAATTCTTTCTCACAACAGATAATGCCRAAATTGTCTTAAAGTTATTAATTATTAGAAAGAATATTGTGAAAAATATTGATAGCTTATTTTGGAGGTTTGTGGTAAATAGTTGAAATATTTTATAATTTTATTTATTCGAATATGTACATTTTTATATATTTAAGTATTTTGATTGAGAATTTATTTGGACTGAACTGGTCTGAGTCAGTCCAGCAACTAAGACGTTGAGCCAACCATCATATTCTCGTGACAGTTATGGCTAAATAGAAGACTATCTTTACTCTTGCCAATTGTAATATGGTCCACATATCGATAGCATCAGATTTATCTTGAATCAAGTGGGAAATGCAGATTCTCATCCCCTACACCAGATCTACAGAATCAGCATCTGCATTTTTAATAAAATACACTGGTAATTGAAGTCCTATCTACACAATGTGATTTTGGCTATGGCTACACATTACAATCACTTAAGAGTACTTTTAAAATGTTTTGATTCCCAGGCTTATACCCAGATCAATTAAATCAGACCCTGTAAGAATTGAACCCTTTCTTTCTTTCTTTCTTTCTTTCTTTCTTTCTTTCTTTCTTTCTTTCTTTCTTTCTTTCTTTCTTTCTTTCTTTTTTTTAATAGTACTAGGGATTGAACAACCTCTGTATTTTCTAAATGCTCACCAAGTTATTCTAATGAGCCACCAGGTTTGAGAACTATCGATTGCACAATGCCCAAATAATCAGCTAATTCAGTATATTCTGAAACAACAACAACAAAAAAAGTCAAACCAATTACTTAGCATTTGGTACCACTCTATAAATGATTGATTTTTTTAACTTTTAATAAGTTTGCTTTGCTACTGCGTGAACACAGCCTATTACAGCTCCAACTGCCCAGAAGTGTATTGTATTGTTAATCAAGAAGAGGAATGCTTTACTATCCCAATTAATTAAAAAAGGTTTTATGTTTGTTTCTCAACCACTTCCTTTTACCAACCCTATTCTCCAGCCTGACAGATCGCAATGATGAATTTTATACACTGTGCACATTTTAACCACTGCATCTATGGATTGTCCACTCACTTCTCCAAGTACTCAGTTCTCATTTTTCCCCTTGAGCATTCCCTTCTCACCCTAAGAAAAATGAATCCCTCCCCTAATTCTCATATGGCTCACATCTCTTCTTTTATGGTCTTACGTAAGATCTACCAATTAGTGAAGTAAACTTACCTGTTGTTTAATTTCTCTATGTAATCAAGAATTTTTAACACTCTGTATCAAAATCTTAAATGTGAATGGAGAAGAAAATCATAGCATAGTACATATGACTATCATTGTTCCCATTATAGGTGAGAAAATTGAGTCTCAGGTAGGCAAGGTGATACGTGTGTAAGATTCAATAAACTATTTTTCCTGTGACCATCTGTCTAAAAGTACAGAGAAATTTAGATGGTCTTTGGGTGTGTGGGTACATGAGCCTGTGTTTGTGTTTCAAACAGAATATAGTATTTAATTATAACTCTGGTGTTGATTAATGATGTGGAAACATAAAAACATACTTAGAGAAATTTCGTTCTCAAAATCTATGCCCACTYGTCTTTAGAATGAACGCAGAGATTTTCTTTTTTTCAATAACTTTGTGCCTTTGATGAAAAGCTATTAAAACTTCATGAGTGAGTCAGGAGGAGGTGGTCAGGGTGGTCAGATTATACTTCTTTCTTCAAATTTTTGTTTTGTTATGAAAGTAACACAAGGACAACTTTTTCTTGAAAAAAATAGAACACTATACATTTGACAAAAATCTTTTTGTCATTCAACTCCAGTATGCCCATCTCAGACTCCCTTTTCTCAGTAGCAGTCAATTATTTATATCTGTGAACATGCTTTAAAATGTTTTTCAGTGTGCTCAAGAACATATAAATAGTGTGCTATATAATTCTCAATAGTGGCAAAGTCACTTATCATGTGAAATGAAATACTCTTGGGAATTAAGAGTTTCACTTATATGTCCAAAATTAAAAAAAAAAAACCTGGGAAAGATATCTAAGTCGGAGTTTGATGGAGTTAAGATTCAAAATTATATATCAACTCTGCAGAATAATGCCCTRAAGACAGAAAGATAAAAATTTACCCTGCATAAATATTAAAGTCCTGCATAAAGTATAGGCAACAAATGGAGAGTTCTGGTTTAATATTAGTTTATATGAAAAAAGACCTAGAGGTTTGGTTATCATATTACTCAAAATGTAATAAAAATTCTAGTTCTTTGAAAAGTCAGTAATTCTCATATCTAAAATAAAATTTCTTTAAAATATCAGGGATTACTCCAAACTAACTTATTTTTGAAGGAAAATACTAAATTGTGCAAAATATAGTGATCTCCTGGTTTTAAAGTGTGGTTCTTGTTTGGAGACTTAATATGTTCTTCATAATRCTTTCTTTCTTTTTATATTAAAACAAAACAACAAAAAGCAATGCCATGTAAAAGAAAGCTTTTTTTGTTTCCCTTCACTCATATCCTTGCATCTTTATTTTAATATAAAACATTCATTACATATCATGAGATCTTTGCATGACAGTTATTGTGAGTCATTGCAATAGTATTCATCCTCCATGTTGATGTCTTCTTGAATAAGGAACTTGCCTTGTGGAATGAATGTCACTCAGAGTATTTTATGCTGATAATTGTCTTGTAGGATGATTTATATTTTGGTGAAGAATATTCACACCCAACATTCTTTGCTGCAAAGTCTGGSATGAAGAGCAGGAAAAATGAGGACATTCTGTGCATGAGACTTGTACTTCCTGCATTGGAAGAGGATTTTTTCTTTGGAACTTGCCAAAGATATAGATTTTTATTTTTTAAATTCTGAAACAAGAACATTTAGAAGTTCTTCATCCTCTGATTACCTGAAAAATCCCTCCATAGCCTTATGCTTTATGGATATTTTCTTTTTATGATTATATATATATATATATATATATATATACACACTGATTACATAGTGCACAAGGAACTATAGGTTTACAGAGATGAACTGATTTTTGCCTAATAAAAAATTAATATTATATCATAAAATATCATAAGTCTTGACCTCTATCCATTTTTTCTAAAAATAAAGCAACCTTTCATATCAACATGGTGATTCAGAAAATGGCAGCTTGAATGAGAAGGAAGAAGCTGAATCAGTGGAACAAATGTGTCGATATGTTTTTAAGGACACCAAACCATGGTTTTATTTGAATTTATCTGTCTTTGCCCTGATGTCTACTGCAGCATATGAGAAGGAGATTCAAGGTCTTAACTCCATTACTGGTTTTATTCAACAATGTCAGACCAATAATAGGTCTTTATCTACTAGTTTGTGCTGCTCCAGATAGAGTAGCTCATTGTAATTCTTCCCTCCAGTTTTTCTTCCACAAGGAAATATCTATATATCTTGGACCTGTCTAATTATCTACTGTGTGAAGAATAGAAAACTGTGAGACAATTCCTAGGCTCATTGTTTCTGGGCTTCAAAAAGCTCAATAAAGTTTCTACCTACATTTTCTTGTTTACATAGTAGAGCAAAGTGGATCAAACAGGTAAAGATTTGTGGCAACAGAGATGTTGCCTTTGTACAATATAACACATACTGTGTATCACAGAAATATTGTGCCACTTCTCTGAAGCTGACATTGGAATGACATTGTAATCCTGGCCATCTGTCTTCCTCCTCTAGATGTCGATGAATGTGCGGTGGTGAATGGAGGCTGCCAGCAGCGCTGTATTAACACTCTGGGCACCTTCCACTGTGAATGTGATACGGGATACAGACTCCATGCTGATGCACGCACCTGCATAAGTGAGTAAATATTAGAACCAGCTTGAAGCCATTTTCAATGAAAATCGACCTGCCCATGTGGGGACAGGAAGAAAAGGTTTTCCTATTGTGGAAATATCTATAGAAGCTGATAGTTCTCAAGCACAATTCTGTCCTGTAGAATAAAAAAAAAATGCTATTAAAAGACTGAAAGAAAAGAAACATGGGGAAAGAAATATAGAAATTAACATTCAAAAGCAAAGCTTGAATCTCTAAATGTGGGAGTATTTCCATAGCATATAATTTCTGATGTATTCAGAGAAGTATAATTTGTTGGTTATTGCTTATGTACAGCAAGTACAGCACAGAGCCACAATGAAGTGAGGATGCTGAGCCCTTGTAATTATTAGCTATAAGTTTCTCATTTCAACCCGGGCTTAGAACCGGATTCAAAATCAGAGTCATGATTAAAATTCAGTCCTCATGAATATTATAACAGATTATATGTCGAAGACCTTAGAGTTACTCAAGCACAATTAAAACTGCACACATTGAATCTACATTATAATATATTTATTTGCATCACACTGTTCCTAAATATAACTTTTGTGTGATTASATTATTACTTTTTATCTTCTTTGTATGTTTCTAAATTTTTATGAATTTCCTAAAATGAGAAATTTAAGAAGTGTATACTACTTCTATAAAGAGAAGAAATAGARTAAACTTTAATAATAACAGTCCTAGCCTTACAATGTGTAAATGTTCCTTGTTGTTTTCACTGAAGTCATGTACATAAATGTATTTTTTAATTAAGTCATGATCCTAAGATGATGTAATGATATATTACACTTTTAACTCCAGGTGCCCTTTAAAACTAACGATCTCTTTAAAAAGTAGCACTTAGTRTAGCTGGCTTTATTTAGATAGAATGTGTTAACTAGTCCACCCACCCAAGATTATAGGCATCTTATAATTTATTCTACACAAAACTTGTAATAGAAGTCAGTTTCCCCTAGTTTCATAACATTTTCTCCTTCATAGGCATCTTATAATTTATTCTACACAAAACTTGTAATAGAAGTCAGTTTCCCCTAGTTTCATAACATTTTCTCCTTCTTTCTATATTTTACTATGTATTATATGAAGTAAGAGAAGACCAAGGTAAACAGGTGAAGACATCCTGGTCATAAATCTGATTTTGGTATGAGAAACAAGTTATGAAAGTATGTTAGCAAAAAAAAAATACTTTTCAAAAGTCAAGGTCAAGTAATTGTACTAATATCTAGGGAGCCCAATATCATAATGATTCTATCTACTGCAAACACAAGCTGTGGAACAGAGCACAGGCACACTTATTTAATCAAAACACCCTCTTCTTTTGGCAGGATTAATGGTCTTAGCAATGAGATTCCTTTTCCCAGCCCCAATCCCAACCTTGTAAGGTCTTCCACTGGTAGCATCCTTAAGCTGCCTCTATTAATTCTCTGAGTCACAAAATATTTAGCAGCAGCAGGATTATTGATACTTGCAGATGGGGTATTTATCAGTAAAAGCTGAGCTGGTGAATTTTTGTATCTGATATACAAATTTTTTTGCAAAGTAGTGATTTATATGAATCAATGATATCTGGTCTTTGTGATAAGGCAAAATAAACACTCTAGTTACCAATTAAATTGTGTTTACAAGAATAATTAGTTCTCTAAACCCTGGAAGTTATTAGCTATTTCTGAGTAAAATCATTAAGCTCTCTTTATTCCTTACCATCACTGCCCTTGAATTTTCCAATTTTTGTTTTAATGACATCAGGTCAAAAGTTGAGTTGGATAAGGATGTTATGGTTTATCTTTTATATTCCCATTTCTTAAAAGCCAATTCTTATTGTGTATGTACATGGACACTATGATAATAGCTTATTTGYAACTCCATAAACTGATTTCTTTATGCAGAATTTCAACATAGTATGCAAATTAAATTGATTCAAGTATATATATGATGAGTAAATTAAGCTAATGAGAAGTAGGAAATTCATGAGTGTAATTATTTCAAAGACTTTAACTCCTTGGATTCCATTGCACAGGAAGTACTGGACTTAAAACCCAGCTCTTGACCTTCATGAAAAATTTTATACTACTGTCACATGCGCACATAGAAGTATTTGTTTCCTCTCAAGAGACACATCTGACACAGTTTATAATTACCTCAGTCTTGTTAAAAGGAGTTCAAGAAGAATTTCAGCACTTTGTATTCAAAGTTTAATAAWATGACCTTGAGGGCAACTGTTTGTTTATTTATTTTAAAAGAAAGGCTTTACTATAGAGACCTGAGTGTTACATTAGTTTATTTTGGATTAAATTGTAGGAAGGTTCCATTATTTTTTAAATAATTTTAAARCTGAGTTGTCTCACTTTTCCTTTGGGATATTTTAATTGACAGAAAACTGAGAACCGTGATTGATGTATATTAGGAGATTATGTTAGAAATTTGTTTTGACCAATGGTAGAGTCACAGAAGAGAAGATGGAGCTATGAAAATTTATGATTTTGGCCTTGTGGTCTCAGTTTCATATAACAAATTTGTCTGTAAAGTTTTGGAATGCATGTAATTTTTTGGAGGGAAGGGCTTATAATTTCTCTAAGATTCTTAAGTCTGTGGTACCCCCAAATATCCCATAGATCTTTTTGTCTTTTTGAAGGCACTTCTTAAAAAGAAGTATACATGGGAGAGTCTCATGACACTTACATTATGACACTGACTTATGATACTGCAATATGGGCTGAGGCCAAGTTGTCAGTGACTGCTTCTGCCTACATTCAATAAAATTCCAGGCCAGAGGCCTCCATTCCTGCCCTTGAGTAGCATGGCACCTGGCCCACTGTCATGGTCCTGAAATCAGGAAAGCTAGTCTGTGGAGATGTCCCTCAGGTGAGGAGCATCACAGCAAATGAAAACAATTGCCATTGTTTGGTGGCACAGAGCAAGCACAGCACAGRGAAGCAGACAAGTGGAACCCTCACCAGATTTTCAGTGTTCTGCCTTAACATGGATGTTACCAAGACTAACAGTTGAAGATCAACAACTTATAAAAGGAAAACTAGGCTGGGTGTAGTGGTGCATGACTGTAACCCAAGGTACGCGGAAGGCTAAGGCAGGAGAGCTGCAAGTTTGAGACCAGCCTAGGCAATTTAGCCAGACCTTGTCTTAAGTTAAAATAAAAAGGATTGGGGATATAGCTCAGTGGTAGAGTGCTTGCCTAACCTGTGAAAGGCTCTGAGTTCAATACCTAGTACTGCAATTAACAACAAACAAAAACTACATTTTAGCAATGTTTAGAAAGTCAGAGATGTTTATGTTCATATTATTTGCCCATTCAATCTCATCCATGTAGATTAGGGACAATGGTACAGTGGAATTCGGATTGGCAAGTGAATTCCAGAAAGTCACTGAGTCTCTCTACATCCCACTTTCCCTGTGTGTAAAATGTAGAAATCAGATAAAGTTTTCTTAAAATTACTTCCACTCTGAAGTGTTATAATTTACAGAATTTTCAAAATCACTAAATCATTACATAGCATCTACTAAGTAAAGCTATTGGATTGTGCATAATAACTCTCTTATAGAGCTGTAATTAAATTTGGAAAAAAAAACACAAAAGTTTAAAGAACTAAGACTTTACAAAGATCAAGCATAGAAACAGAGTGAAGATTCCATGATCTAGTTTAATKTTTTTAAAAGTGAGAAACTGACATTCCAATTTAATAAAAATCAGTGGATAAGAAATGTTTTATTGAAAAAAAAATATTCAGTGGGTGGTGCTTTTGCACTGTTTTCCATATCATAGAAGCATATCTAGAAGGAATTCAAGGAATAATCCAGCCCCAACTCCTTTCTTAGAGATAAGAAGACTCAGAGCCAAAGAGATCAAGGAACTTTCACTCTGAGAAAGAAAAACAGTTTCAGGAAAACCTAGCTAATACCACTCCTGATCCAATGCCTTCAAGTAATATCTGATATATATTTTTAAAGATAGACCAAGAAAATCATAAAGACACTGCTAGATGAAATTCTCACATTCTGTTATARTAAATGGAGCTAAAAGTTAAAACAATATATTTTTCACAATAGCTATCAATAACAGAAACTTACCTTATGTCATCAACCTATAAATTTATACTTTATATTTCTCTCCTGTATTTTGGAAATAGGCTCCAAAATACCTTGGCTTCTCTCTGTTCTCTTAAGTCACTCTACTTTAATGCCTTACTTTACTCTTAAATTACAATATATCTCACACCCCCCACCACCACCTTCCCTATCAAAACTCTACTTACCATGGTCCATGTTAAATATCATCTGTCCTGTTAAGCTTTCTCTGAATACTCCAGCTGAAGATATTCCTTTTTTTCTTTAAGAAATGCCATGTCATTTGTGTTGCTTTTATGACTATAWAGATATATAACAATCTTATGAAAGATGACCAGCTCAAATCCTCATTCAGAATCATGTCCTTCCTCTGATGTATTTGCTGAAATTGGCCCTCTCAGAGGGGTGAAATTATGAAATGATTGAATATTTTAATGCTTGCCTAGTTCTCTTTCCTCTCTTTCATACCTTTGGCACATAGGTCTATTAACACATGTATTCACAAATAAACAAATGGAATCACTTATGTCTGCATAAAGAAAATTTAGGTAGAGGATATTTTAATTACTTTCAATCTCTAACACAAGAATTCTTCATTTCCAGTTGCTTGGAATGGTCAGGATCTGTTTTTCTTCAATGGCCCCKTTTTATTCTTACTAAATGAGAAGAAAAAATTAATGGTTACCCAGAACTAAAATTTAAAGATTTTTTCTGTGTTGGTAAGTGTATATATAACATGGTGAAGTCAGTGTTATACTTTAATTACAAGTAGGCAGAAGTTGGGTGGCAAGAAGGTATAACTGAGAAGGTTGATTAAAATAATGATTTTAATAATTTCTCATTGAAACTTGGAGCTTGAATAAATTTCTTTATATCAGATTTTCATAAGTTTCATATTT